CGCAGAAGGCAAACAGAATTCTCAAGTTCTCGTCGTCGGAATGGCACTTCTTCTCCCTCGCCGTTCGAAAGCGGCACTCGCGGCTAACCTCTCCAAAGCGTTTGCACTCGCGTCCGCGCAATCGCGCTTCTCCCCGAATGCCGATTGCAGCCTTTTTTCTCGGTCGCCGGGAAAGGATGACTGCAGCTGGCTGCTTTTCTCCGAGTAGCAGGCTCGTCTGCGCAAATGAGAGCGGTGATGTTTCGATTTAGACGTGTTGAAATACGAAGATTGCACTACTCCTGGCTCTGCGTCAACATATGCCTCATCTCTTATGCTTTCAAGCTGGCACTTTGGAAAAGATTATGCTTTTTTATTGGGGTAGTTTTAGCACAGCTCTGCTGGGTCTAATGGGGGAACACTGGAACAACCCTGCATGCTTTAATGGTGGCGCATTAACACAGCTCTCTGGGTTTAATGGTGGCACATTAGCACACCTCAGATGGCTTTAATCCAGCACAGCTTTGTTGTTCTAAATGGTTACACAATTGACTGCTCTGCGCTGTTAAATAGTGACACCTTGCATATCTCTGATGGGTTGAATGGTGAAAGACTGGCAAACATATGCTGGGTTTCATGGAGACACACTGGCGCATCTCTTCTGGGTTTCCTGGTGATGCATTGCACAGCTGTGCTAGGTTGAATAGTGGCATAGCTCTGCTAGGCTTAGTAGTGGCACATTTTACAATATTTTGTTGGGCGTTTTTCCTCTAGGTCCCTTACCAGTGCTCCCGACTTTTTTGAACGTGCTCCCTGAGAGCACAACATCTGTCGCTCCTCCAATTTACAGTTGTCTCTGAAGAGAGGGTTTTCCCTTCTACCCTTGTGGCCACAGAGTGCCCAAATGCAGTCACGGAGAACCACACTGCAACGAATTGTCGCTGGATCGAAAGGCATGGACACAACCTTCAGAGTCAGGCGTAGCGTCACCAGCAGAGCTGTGCCAGTGTGGCCCCATTTTACCCTGCAGAACTGGGACAACGTGTCACTAAGAAACCCTGCAGCAGAGCTGTGCAATGTGCCTCCATTAATCCCAGCAGTGCTTTGCCAATATGTCACCACTAACCCAGCAGAGTGGTGCCAACGTGTCCCTAATAAACCGATCAGAGCTGTACAAAGTGCTACCATTCAAGCAAGCAGAGCTGTGCCAGTGTGCCCCCATTCAACCCCACGCAGCTGTGCACTATTTCTCCATTCAACCTAGCAGGGCTGTGCCAATGTGTCCCCATGAAATCCAGCAGAGCAGTGCCCGGTGTGCCATCAGGAAATACAGTAAAGCGGTGTGTATGGGGAGTGCTGAGTCACAGCCTAAACCTCTGATTGATCAGCTGAGGCGAGCAATGAGTCAGCCAGAGGAGCACAGCTGAAGTCAATTCAGCTGTGCTGCCGGAAGCCATGCTGCACCCCTCCTAGACCTATTTAAGAGCTGGCTACCAGTGGGGAAGGATCTCTTCTGGAGACAGCCTCTGCTGGTGTTTGGTGAGTGAGTCCTGGACGGGGGTAAGCCTACTGTTTGTTCTCTTTTGTCATGGTCCGCTTTGCCTAACTGTCTTGTTTATTTCGTGACTAGAACATCCTTTGGTTATACGCTTGGCGAGCCAGGCAGGCCAAATGTACTAAAAGGTACATCATGTCTTTTCTTGGGAATTTTTTCAATGGGTGAAGGGGGAGAGCAATACTTTTCTGGAGAAAATGATTCCAGGATTTGTGGGATCCCCCTATTACGAGCTAGCGGTTCCCATTAAGAAATGGGGTCCCTTAGGCGTTGTGGGCAATATCTCCCCATATCGCATGGTGGATTACTTTCAAGGACTTAATTTTTTTTAATTTTAATTTTATTTTTTACATTTTTTTTCCTTTTCTTTTATTTTTATGTTATTTTTATTTCACGGTCTCTTCTGCCATAGTGTCGCCAAAAATGGGTACTGTAACTATTTTTTTTTTTTTTTTTTGCGACTACCATCCGGTGTGCTATCCGGCTACGCGCATGTGCAAAATGGCGGGGATGTTCGTGCACGCGCAGTAGGTCGTCAAATGCAGCGCATGCGCAGTGCTGTACGGGAACTGGCGCGTGCGCAGTGCGCTGTGGCACAAGTGCGCATGCGCTGCAGAAACGTGCGCGTATATAAAGAGAGTGTCAGCGGCTGGATTTCTGCATAGATGTTGCTTTTATGGGACTGCTCGGGGCTGAGCTGCTGCGCACCGCTACCGCCATCGCAAACCTCCGAACCACTGCGAATTGCTTCAAATTGCTGCGAATCGCTCCGAGCTGCTTCGAATTGCGCCGAGCAGCTCGGAATAGCTCCAAGCCCCTCTTAGCCGCTGCGAGCCCCTCTGAAGCCCTTCGATCTGCTCCGAAGCCCTCCAAGCCGCTCCATAGCACACCGAAGCGCCGCGAGCCACTGCGAATTGCGCCGAGCCGCCGCGAGCCACTCCAAAACGCGCCGAGCCGCTCGTGTTCCACTGGTGCTGTGCGGGCTTTGAAACAGCTGGAGAGCAGCGTAAGGCTGGGGGTGGAAGGGGACGTTTGCTGTCTCCTGGGGCGGCGAAGGGGAACAGGGAGCTGAACCATTCGGTTCCCGGCTGGGTTCCAGGCTAAAACAGCGGCAATAGATGGGGGACTTCCTGGGGTAGAAGGGGAGAAAACAAACGGCTGAGCTGGCGGTGTGAGAATCAGCTCCTGGCCCGGAGCCGCAGCACTCTGTGGAAGCAATGGCTGCCGCGAACTGCCGGGTGCATGTTCGCTATGAGTGGAGGACTGAGCACCATAGAGAGCTGCAGAGGAGCTGTGCAGAGCGGTCAGAACGGCGCTTCCGCGTTGGTGGACGCATGCGTCGTGCTGTCTTTGGGCCTCAGCAGTGGGCAGCGGCAGTTCCACGCATCGGCCACGCGGTAACAGCAGAGAGCGCGGCCACCACTTTGCTGCCGGCTGAATGGCGGGGCTCGGCGACACGGTGAATCACCTGTGGGGCACTTGTGCATCCCTGTGTGTAACTTGTGAGTCACAGGCTGCTGTGGGTCATTTGTGGGGCACTGGAGAGGAACTTGTGAGTCATAGATGACTTGTGGGGCGATGATGGGGCACTTGTGGTGCACTTCTGGGATACAGGATGCTGTGGATCACTTGTGGGGCACCGATGGGGTAGTTCTGAAGTGCTGATGGGTTACTTGTGGGGCACTAGGGGGTCAGTTTTGGGGTGCTGATTTGTGTCTTGTGGGGCAATTGTGGGACTCCATGGGTCACTTATGGACCACTTCTGGGGCGCTGATATGCCCCTTGCGTGTCACTTGGGAGGCACTTGTGGGTCACAGGGTGCTGTGGGTCATTTATGGGGCTCTGTGGAGCAGTTATGGGGTGGTGATGTGTCACTTGTGAGTCACTGGTGGGGTGCTTATGGGTCGCTTATGGGACACTGGTCGGCTCTTGTGGGGCACTTGTGGGTACTTATGGTGCACTGCTGTGTTTGTTGTGGGGCATTTGTGGGTCACTGCGCAAGGGAGTTGTGGTTCACAGGTCACTCTGGAGTTCTCTGGGTCACTTGTGTGGTGCCATGGGGTGCTTATGGGGCACTTAAGGGCACTTGTGAGTCACTCATGGGTCCCTGCAGTGCCACTTGTGGGGATCTTGTGGGGCACTTGTAGGGCACTGACGGGGCATCTGTGGGTCTCTTGTTTTTCAGTTCTGGGTCACTTGTGGGTCCCTGCTGTGCCACTTGTGGGGCACGTTTGGGGCACTGGGGGGGCACTTGTGGGTCGTAGGTGACTTGTGGGGAGCTGATGGGGCACGTGTGTGGCGCTGATGTGCCACTGGGGGTGTACTTGTGGGGCACTGGGGGGGCGCTTGTGGGTCACAGGTCACTTGTGGGGCACTGATGGGTCACATGGGGCCACTGGTGGGGCTCTTGTGGGTTACTTATAAGGGAACTGAGGTGTCACTCATGGGCCACTTGTGGGTCTGTACGGTGCCGCTTGTGGGGCGCTGATGGGTCGCTTGTTGGGTACTTGTGCGCACTTGATGTGTCACTTGTGGGATTTTGTGGGTCCCTGATGTGCAACTTCTGGGGTGCTGATGTGTCACTTGTGGGGCGCTTTTCGGGCACCAATGTGACAGTTACAGGGCGCTGCCGTCTCACCTGTGGGGCGCTGGTGGGGCAGTTGTGGGTCACTTGTGGGGCGCTGATGTGTCGCTTACGGGGCACTTGTGGGTCACTGCGGAAGGCAATTGTGGGTCACAGGTAACTCTGGAGCTCTTTGGGTCATTTGTGGGGCGCCATGGGGCACTTATGGGGCACTTGAGGGTCACTTATGGGTCCCTGTGGTGCTACTTGCGAGGATCTTGTGGGGCATTTGTAGGGCACTGACGAGGCACTTGTGGGGCACTTGTGGTTCACAGGATGCTGTGGGTCACTTGTGTATCCGTGCTGTGCTGCTTGTGGGTTGCTTGTGTGGCACTTGAGGGTCACCGCATGCTGTGGGATACTTGCGCAGCACTGTGGGGTGCTAGGAGGGCACTTGTGGGGTGCAGATTTGTCAATCCTGGGGCGCTGGTGTGTTACTTATGGGTCACTGGTGGGCATTTGTGGGTCGCAGCCATCTCACTTGGAGGGCACTTATGGGGCGCTTGCGAGGCACTGATGTGTCGCATTTGGGGCAATTGTGGGGCACTTGTGGGGGTGCTGATGTGTCACTTGTGGGTCAATTGTAGGTCTCCATATTGCAACTGGGCAGTCACTTGTGAGGCACTTGTGGGTCACTAGTGGGGCTCTGATGGGGCACTTGTGGGGCAGTGATGTGTCACTCGCAGAGCGGTGAGCAGGCACATGAGGGGCACTGATATGTCGCTCGTGGGTCACTTAAGGGTCCCTGCAGTACTATTTGTGGGGCAAGTGTAGGGTGCTGATGTTCCCCCACACCTCAACTTCCTCCGCATTCCCGTTTCCCCCATCTTGGAACAGCTGGAACAGCCGGTGCAGGGTGGCAGCAGCAGGGTGGAAGCCCAGGTGGGTGCGATGAAGCCGGGGGTGGGCCTGGGTGGAGCCCGAGCCCAGCCTGAGCTCATTGAAGGGCTGGGAATGGCAGGGCTCAGATGTGTGCCTGGGCTTCTGGTGTCAGTGTGGTTGGGTGAGCAGTGAGGTTTGGGAGGGACCGACCTGTTGGCCTTGAGATTGATGCCCAGCTCCTTGCTCATCGCATTCTGTTTGGCTCGAGGTTCCGGACACGGCTTGCTCTTGTAAGTAGCGTGAGGACTGCGAGAAAGACTTTGTTGGATGCAGCAGGAAAGCACAGCCGCTGGTGGATGCCAGTGTCCGCTCCTGAGGCTCTGCGCCAAGGTACGTGGATCCCTGCCGTCTCCTGTTTCACACGCTCGCTCAGGTCCTTTGGGGCTTGGTGTCGCTTGTCCCTCGTGCTCCCGTTGCTGTCACCGGGTGTTGTTCCTTTGCCCATGCTCAGCTCTGCCCAGTGCTGATGGGATGCCAGTGCCACCTGCTGCTCTTAAGAAAAGGTAGGTTTGATTTCTTTTGGTTTCCATAGCATTTGCTACACTTTCATTCTGTCTCCTTTTTTTTTTTTTTTTCTTTTTGCTCTCAATAAATGGCAGGTTCAATTCATTTTGGCTCCTGTAGTGTTTGCTACACTTGTGTTCTGTTTCTCTTCTCTTTTTTCCATGTTGCCTGGCGGTGCCTGGCTGGAGTTCCCATGACCCCCGGACCCACTTGTGACCAAGTGAGGTGCCAAAAACAGAGGTATCTCCTAAGCAGGCTTGTGCTGAGTGCTGTCCTCGTCTTGGGGTTTGTCCAATGCCCACCTTTCTTTTCTAGCCCACTTTGTTGCGGACGGCGTGTGAGGCTTTCTTCTTTCTTTGTAGGATTGGCGACTCCACCACCAGAAGCAGCAGGCATTTGGGGATGTCCAAGGTTCCGCAGTGAACGTGTCCTGTTCCTGGTAAAGGTGTGGGCGTTCCTGGACACGAAGGTATCTATCTTCATGCCTTGCCCATGTGCCCAGTCCCCCACCAGATGCTGTTTGCCTTTTGGCCCCCCTGATTTGCTGCACTGCTGCGCCCTGATCCTTGCAGAGGGGTAAGTGACACCTTTGTCCCTTCCGGAAAGCGCTCTCCACTTTCCTCTCGTTGGTCATCGGCAGCACCGTCCTTCTCTCGCCAGGCTCTCATTGGTCACCGGCAGCGCCGTCCCGCCCTCGCCAGCCTGTGATTGGTCATCGGCAGTGCCGTCCCGCCCTCATGTGTCTCTCATTGGTGATCGACAGCACCGTCCCGCCCTATCAGCATCTCATTGGTCATCGGCAGCGCTCTCCCGCCCCCGCCAGCCTTTCGGTGGTAATCGTTAACGCCGTCCCACCTTCATGTGCCTCTCTTTGGTCATCGGCAGCGCTGTCCTTCCCTCGCCAGTCTTTCATTGGTCATCTACAGCTCCATCCCGCCTCCGCCAGCATCTCATTGGACAGCAGCAGCCTTTTTCCCCGCCTTTTTCCCCGCCTTTTTCCCCGCCTTTTTCCCCGCCTTTTTCCCCGCCTTTTTCCCCGCCTTTCTCTTCACCTTCCCCTGGCCCCTTTTCCCCTTTCCTTTTCCTTCTTCTCATGTCCTGTTTTTTCCTTCCAGGTCTCCTTTTTACTCTCCCTTCCCCCCTTTTATCTCCCTGTTTTTTGCCCATTTTTCCCCCTCTTCTCCTTTCTCCTTTTCTCCTCCTCATCTCCTTTTCTTTTTCCTCCCTTTCTCATTCTTCTTTTCCCCTCTCCCCTCTTGTCTTCCTTTCCCTTTTGCCCCCTTTACTCTCCTCTTCTTCGCCCCCTTCTTCTTCTTTTTGCCCCCATCCCCACTTCCCCTTTCACCCCCTTTACCCCTTTTCCTCCCCATCTCCCTTTTCGCCCCGTCCCCCTTTTTTATTTTACTTTTCCTCTTTGTCTCCCCCTTCCTTTTCCCCCCCTTGACCCCATTCCTTGTTCCTTCCCCATCGTCCCCTTTTCTTCCGAAGCCCATTCCCTTCTCAGTGCGATGGTGGCTCCTGCGAGCAGCAGAGCCCCGAGCAGCAGCGCTGCGTCTTGGCTCCCCCATTGCCCGCTGCTGAGCTCTTCCTGCCCTGGCTCCTCATCGGCTGAGCGCTGCAGCTTCCCCTTTTTGGCGACGCTTCACCACTCGCCCAGCACCCAGCAGACGCACATCTTTGCCGCCCAAACACACGCAGGCCTTCATTGGTTTCTTGCTTTCTCACCACTGCTCTCTTAACCAACGTGCGGTTGGAACTTGCGGCTCTCAGGTTTTCAGCATCAACACAGACACAGCCTCTGAATTGCTTCATTTACCCCCTGCCATTCGTGCCCTTCCCGCTGCTCGTCGTTCTGCGCATCCGGCCGATTTTCCGCAGCGCTGAGCTCGGCAGGAGGACAGAGGGGAGCAGCTGGGAGCCTCACAGCCTCCTCGCGTTCCCACGCAGCGGGACAGCGCTGTCACGTGCGACGGCCCTGATTCCTCCCTCGTCCCCCTTTTGCTTTTTTTCCTCCCTCGTCCCCCTTTTCCTTTTGTCCTTCTCATACACTTCCTGCTATCCCGCCTTTTCCCCGCCTTCCCTCATCTCGCACTCTTTGAGCCCTTTTTCTCCCCCCATCCTTATTTCTCTTCACATTCCCCTGTTCTTTTTTCCTTTTCCTCTTCCTCATCCCCAGCTCCGCTTCCCCCCCACCTCACGTCCCCTTTCTTCTGTCCCTGTACCCCATTTTTCCCTTTTTTTCCCCACCCCCTTTTTTTGTTCTCTGCTGTCCCCTATTCCCTTTTTCCTCTTTGCTCTCTCTCTCCTTTCTTCCCCCTCATCCTGTTGCAGAAGAGACTGAAGGAATGATGGACAAGCCAGTGCAGGATGGCAGCAGCAGGGTGGAAGCCCAGGTGGGTGCGATGAAGCCGGGGCTGGGACTGGGTGGAGCCAGAGCCCAGCCTGAGCTCATGGAAGGGCTGGGAAACGCAGGGCTCAGATGTGTGCCTGGGCTTCTGGTGTCAGTGTGGTTGGGTGAGCAGTGAGGTTTGGGAGGGACCGACTTGTTGGCCTTGAGATTGATGCCCAGCTCCTTGCTCATCGCATTCTGTTCGGCTCGAGGTTCCGGACACGGCTTGCTCTTGTAAGCAGCGTGAGGACTGCGAGAAAGACTTTGTTGGATGCAGCAGGAAAGCACAGCTGCTGGTGGATGCCAGTGTCCGCTCCTGAGGCTCTGCGCCAAGGTACGTGGTTCCCTAATGTCTCCTGTTTCACACGCTCGCTCAGGTCCTCGGGCTTGGTGTCGGTTGTCCCCCGTGCTGACGTTTCTGTCACCGGGTGTTCTTCCTCTCCCCTTCCTCAGCTCTGCCCAGTGCTGATGGGATGTCAGTGCCACCTGCTGCTCTCCATGAACTGCAGGTTCAATTCCTTTTGGCTTCCACAGCATTTGCTACTCTTTTGTTCTGTCTCACTTCTCTTTTTTCCATGTTGCCTGCTGGCGCCTCGCTGGAGTTCCTAGGATGCCACTGCACACTTTGGACCAAGTGAGATGCAGAAGAAGAGGTAGGCTCCTGAACAGGCTGCTGCTGAGTGCTGTCCTTGACCTGGGGTTTGTACAATTCCCACCCTTCGTTGCTAAGCCACGTTGTTCAGTAGTGCGAGTGAAGCTTTCTTCTTTCTTTCTTTCTAGGATTGGTGACTCGTGCAGCAGATGCAGCAGGCATCTTGGGCTGCCCAAGCTTCCGCAGTGAACGTGTCCTGTTCCTGGTAAAGGTGTGGGCGTTCCTGAATGTGAAGATATCTTCATGCGTTTCCGATGTGCCCAGTCCCCCACCTGATAATGTTAGCCTTTGGGGCTCCCCTGAGTTGCTGCATTGGCAGCAGATAACTGCTGGTTTGACTGCCTTAAGGGCTGTCAGGAAAGATGTCTTCTGCAAAACCCCTGAGCTACCAACTGCCAAGGAAGTTGGTATGTTCCCAGGAATGACAGGAAGCAGATCATGGATGCGCAGCTATGGGATGTTGGTAAAGCCGAGTCTCCTCTATCTTTCCCTTTTCCATCCCCATTTACTCTCCGTCCCCATTCCGCTTTTCCCCATCCCTTTTCCTCCGTATCCCCGTTTCCCCCCTCTTTCTCCCCCCTCTTTCTCCCCCGCTTTTGCCCTGTTTCTCTTCACCTTCCCCTCTTCCCTTTTCCCCTTTCCCTTTACTTGTCCTCAGGTCCCCTTTTTTCCTTCCAGGTCTCCTTTTTTCTATCCATTCCTCCCTTTTATTTAGCCTTTTACGCCCCCTTTTCTCCCTGCTCACCTCCATTCCCCTTTTCCCCCTGCTCTCCTCTCTCCTTTCCTATTCCTCGTCTCCTTTTTCATCCCCCCCTCATTCTCCTTTTCCCCTTTTACCCCTTGTCTTCCTTTCCCCTTTTCCTTTCTTTCCCTCCTCTTCATTCCCCCCGTTCTTCTTCTTTTTGCCCAAATCCCCACTTCCTCTTTCACCCCCTTTACCCCTTTTCCTCCCCAACTCCATTTTTGCCCCATCCCCCTTCACCCATTTTCCTTTTCCCCTCCTCGTACCCATTCCTTTTCCACTCCTCGTCCCCATTCCTTTTTCCTTCCCCATCGTCCCCTTTTCTTCACAAAGCCGATACCGCTCGCAGTGCGATGGCGGCTCCTGCAAGCAGCAGAGCCCCGAGCAGCAGCACTGCGTCTTGGCTCCCCCATTGCCCGCTGCTGAGCTCTTCCTGCCCTGGCTCCTCATTGGCTGAGCGCTGCAGCTTCCCCTTTTTGGCGATGCTTCACCACTCGCACACACAGCCAGCAGGCGGGCAAAAGGCGGGGAAAAGGCTGCTGCTGTCCAATGAGATGCTAGCAGAGGCGGGATGGAGCCGTTGATGACTAGTGACAGGCTGGCAGGGGCGGGACGGCGCTGCCGATGACCAATGAGAGACACATGAGGGCGGGACGGCACTGCCGATGACCAATCACAGGCTGGCGAGGGCGGGACGGCGCTGCCGGTGACCAATGAGAGCCTGGCGAGAGAGGGACAGTGCTGCCGATGACCAACGAGAGGAAAGTGGAGAGCGCTTTCCGGAAGGGACAAAGGTGTCACTTACCCCTCTGCAAGGATCAGGGCGCAGCAGTGCAGCAAATCAGGGGGGCCAAAAGGCAAACAGCATCTGGTGGGGGACTGGGCACATGGGCAAGGCATGAAGATAGATACCTTCGTGTCCAGGAACGCCCACACTTTTACCAGGAACAGGACACGTTCACTGCCGAACCTTGGACATCCCCAAATGCCTGCTACTTCTGGGGCTGGAGTAGCCAATCCTACAAAGAAAGAAGAAAGCCTCACACGCCATCCGCAACAAAGTGGGCTAGAAAAGAAAGGTGGGCATTGGACAAACCCCAAGACGAGGACAGCACTCAGCACAAGCCTGCTTAGGAGATACCTCTGTTTTTGGCACCTCACTTGGTCACAAGTGGGCCCGGGGGTCATGGGAACTCCATGAGTTCCCGAGGCACCACCAGGCAACATGGAAAAAAGAGAAGAGAAACAGAACACACGTGTAGCAAATACTACAGGAGCCAAAATGAATTGAACCTGCCATTTATTGAGAGCAAAAAGAAAAAAAAAAGGAGACAGAATGAAAGTGTAGCAAATGCTATGGAAACCAAAAGAAATCAAACCTACCTTTTCTTAAGAGCAGCAGGTGGCACTGGCATCCCATCAGCACTGGGCAGAGCTGAGCATGGGCAAAGGAACAACACCCGGTGACAGCAACGGGAGCACGAGGGACAAGCGACACCAAGCCCCAAAGGACCTGAGCGAGCGTGTGAAACAGGAGACAGCAGGGATCCAGGGGACTGGGCACGTCCAGGAACGCCCACACCTTTACCAGGAACGGGACACGTTCACTGCGGAAGCTTGGGCAACCCAAAATGCCTGCTGCATCTGGTGGAGGAGTGGCCAACCCTACAAAGAAAGAAGAAAGCTTCACACGCGGTGCTCAACAACGTGGCTTGGCAACAAAGGCTGGTCATTATACAAACCCCGAGTGAAGGACAGCACTCAGCAGCAGCCTGTTCAGGAGCCTACCTCTTCTTCTGCATCTCACTTGGTCCAAAGTGTGCAGTGGCATCCTGGGAACTGCAGCGAGGCGCCAGCAGGCAACATGGAAAAAAGAGAAGTGAGACAGAACAAAAGAGTAGCAAATGCTGTGGAAGCCAAAAGGAATTGAACCTGCAGTTCATGGAGAGCAGCAGGTGGCACTGACATCCCATCAGCACTGGGCAGAGCTGAGGAAGGGGAGAGGAAGAACACCCGGTGACAGAAACGTCAGCACGGGGGACAACCGACACCAAGCCCGAGGACCTGAGCGAGCGTGTGAAACAGGAGACATTAGGGAACCACGTACCTTGGCGCAGAGCCTCAGGAGCGGACACTGGCATCCACCAGCAGCTGTGCTTTCCTGCTGCATCCAACAAAGTCTTTCTCGCAGTCCTCACGCTGCTTACAAGAGCAAGCCGTGTCCGGAACCTCGAGCCGAACAGAATGCGATGAGCAAGGAGCTGGGCATCAATCTCAAGGCCAACAAGTCGGTCCCTCCCAAACCTCACTGCTCACCCAACCACACTGACACCAGAAGCCCAGGCACACATCTGAGCCCTGCGTTTCCCAGCCCTTCCATGAGCTCAGGCTGGGCTCTGGCTCCACCCAGTCCCAGCCCCGGCTTCATCGCACCCACCTGGGCTTCCACCCTGCTGCTGCCATCCTGCACTGGCTTGTCCATCATTCCTTCAGTCTCTTCTGCAACAGGATGAGGGGGAAGAAAGGAGAGAGAGAGCAAAGAGGAAAAAGGGAATAGGGGACAGCAGAGAACAAAAAAAGGGGGTGGGGAAAAAAAGGGAAAAATGGGGTACAGGGACAGAAGAAAGGGGACGTGAGGTGGGGGGGAAGCGGAGCTGGGGATGAGGAAGAGGAAAAGGAAAAAAGAACAGGGGAATGTGAAGAGAAATAAGGATGGGGGGAGAAAAAGGGCTCAAAGAGTGCGAGATGAGGGAAGGCGGGGAAAAGGCGGGATAGCAGGAAGTGTATGAGAAGGACAAAAGGAAAAGGGGGACGAGGGAGGAAAAAAAGCAAAAGGGGGACGAGGGAGGAATCAGGGCCGTCGCACGTGACAGCGCTGTCCCGCTGCGTGGGAACGCGAGGAGGCTGTGAGGCTCCCAGCTGCTCCCCTCTGTCCTCCTGCCGAGCTCAGCGCTGCGGAAAATCGGCCGGATGCGCAGAACGACGAGCAGCGGGAAGGGCACGAATGGCAGGGGGTAAATGAAGCAATTCAGAGGCTGTGTCTGTGTTGATGCTGAAAACCTGAGAGCCGCAAGTTCCAACTGCACGTTGGTTAAGAGAGCAGTGGTGAGAAAGCAAGAAACCAATGAAGGCCTGCGTGTGTTTGGGCGGCAAAGATGTGCGTCTGCTGGGTGCTGGGCGAGTGGTGAAGCGTCGCCAAAAAGGGGAAGCTGCAGCGCTCAGCCGATGAGGAGCCAGGGCAGGAAGAGCTCAGCAGCGGGCAATGGGGGAGCCAAGACGCAGCGCTGCTGCTCGGGGCTCTGCTGCTCGCAGGAGCCACCATCGCACTGAGAAGGGAATGGGCTTCGGAAGAAAAGGGGACGATGGGGAAGGAACAAGGAATGGGGTCAAGGGGGGGAAAAGGAAGGGGGAGACAAAGAGGAAAAGTAAAATAAAAAAGGGGGACGGGGCGAAAAGGGAGATGGGGAGGAAAAGGGGTAAAGGGGGTGAAAGGGGAAGTGGGGATGGGGGCAAAAAGAAGAAGAAGGGGGCGAAGAAGAGGAGAGTAAAGGGGGCAAAAGGGAAAGGAAGACAAGAGGGGAAAGGGGAAAAGAAGAATGAGAAAGGGAGGAAAAAGAAAAGGAGATGAGGAGGAGAAAAGGAGGGAGGAGAACAGGGGGAAAAAGGGGCAAAATAGGGGATATAAGAGGGGGTAAGAGACAGTAAAAAGGGGACCTGGAAGGAAAAAACAGGACATGAGAAGAAGGAAAAGGAAAGGGGAAAAGGGGCCAGGGGAAGGTGAAGAGAAATGGAGAAAAGGCGGTGGAAAAGGCGAGTAAAGGAGGGGAAAAAGGCGGGGGAACAGGTGGGGGAAAAGGCTGCTGCAGACGAATGAGTTGCAGGCAGTGGTGGAACGGAGCTGCCCATGGCCAATGAAAGACTGGCGAGGGCGGGACAGCGCTGCTGATGACCAATGAGAGGCACATGAAGGTGTGAAGGCGCTGCCAATGACCAATGAGAGGCTGGCGGGACGGGACAGTGCTGCCGATGACCAATGAGAGGCTGTCGGGGGCGGGACGGCGCTTCCGGATGACCGATAATAGGCACAAGGGGGCAGGACGGCACAGTCGGTGACCAATCACAGGCTGAGAAGAGGCGCACGGCCCTGCCGATGACCAATCACTGGCTGGCGAGGGCGGGACGGCGCTGCCGGTGACCAATGAGAGCCTGTCGAGAGAGGGACGGTGCTGCCGATGACCAACGAGAGGAAAGTGGAGAGCGCTTTCCGGAAGGGACAAAGGTGTCACTTACCCCTCTGCAAGGATCAGGGCGCAGCAGTGCAGCAAATCAGGGGGGCCAAAAGGCAAACAGCATCTGGTGGGGGACTGGGCACATGGGCAAGGCATGAAGATAGATACCTTCGTGTCCAGGAACGCCCACCACCTTTACCAGGAACAGGACACGTTCACTGCGGAAGCTTGGGCAGCCCAAGATGCCTGCTGCATCTGCTGCACGAGTCACCAATCCTAGAAAGAAAGAAAGAAGAAAGCTTCACTCGCACTACTGAACAACGTGGCTTAGCAACGAAGGGTGGGAATTGTACAAACCCCAGGTCAAGGACAGCACTCAGCAGCAGCCTGTTCAGGAGCCTACCTCTTCTTCTGCATCTCACTTGGTCCAAAGAGTGCAGTGGCATCCTGGGAACTCCAGCGAGGCGCCAGCAGGCAGCATGGAAAAAAGAGAAGTGAGACAGAGCAAAAGAGTAGCAAATGCTGTGGAAGCCAAAAGGAATTGAACCTGCAGTTCATGGAGAGCAGCAGGTGGCACTGACATCCCATCAGCACTGGGCAGAGCTGAGGAAGGGGAGAGGAAGAACACCCCGGTGACAGCAACGTCAGCACGAGGGACAACCGACACCAAGCCCGAGGACCTGAGTGAGCGTGTGAAACAGGAGACATTAGGGAACCACGTACCTTGGCGCAGAGCCTCAGGAGCGGACACTGGCATCCACCAGCAGCTGTGCTTTCCTGCTGCATCCAACAAAGTCTTTCTCAGAGCCCTCACACTGCTTAGAAGAGCAAGCCGTGTCCAGAACCTCGAGCCGAACAGAATGCGATGAGCAAGGAGCTGGGCATCAATCTCAAGGCCAACAAGTCGGTCCCTCCCAAACCTCACTGCTCACCCAACCACACTGACACCAGAAGCCCAGGCACACATCTGAGCCCTGCGTTTCCCAGCCCTTCCATGAGCTCAGTTGTCACGGAGTTGATTAGATCAATTTATGTCCGTGACAGGGGCGACAGGCCTCTGCCCTCCCCCCCCACCCCAGTCCCATACGAAATGGGAAGGAAGGAAGGGAGGAAAAGAGCAGCGGTAGCAATCTATGGAGGAAAACTTATTTTACTATAATATCGGAATACAAAATAACACAATATATACAATTTAATTGAAATTGAGATTAATAAATCAGACACGATGAGAGAGAGAGAGAGTTCCCGGGACCGAGTCAAATCTGGAAAGCTTGGAACGGCCAGGAAAGCACCTCCAGCACCCACTGCCAGGCAGCAAGAGAGCGCCCCCCCACCCGGAAGGGTCAGATCCCGTGACTGCTGTAACGTACAGGGATAGGTAGCTGGGATTGGGGCAGTGACACTTTAGTGCCCCGTACACTACATGATGTTTTGATGTGGAATACTGAAACCCCAAAATAAAAAAAACGAAAACAAAAACATAGAACCATGACAGGGTGGGGAGAAGGCAGTAAAATACCCTGGAACGAGGGGGTGGGGGGGCAGGTGAGCACGGGGCCTGAAGGCTGAGTGGGGCTTGAGGGGCCGTAGGGGGGGGAAAGAGAGTGGGGGGGAGGGGAGGGAATGCTGGGTTAAAGCCTGCTGGCCGGGCAGGGCACCCTGCAGGGTTCAAAGTTGGGCTGCCGGCTGGCCGGGTGCCCTGCCAGGCCAACATCTGGCTGGCCAGCCAAAATGGGGTTGCACACATGAGAGTTGCACGAGGGCTTGCATGAGGGTGTGGGCATGGGTTTTGCACAAGGGTTGTGCACAAGGGCTGCACACATAAGATTTGCACGAGAGCTTGCACGGGGGTGTGAGTTTCGGGTTTCCACGAGGGTTGTGCACGTGGGGGGTTGCAGAAGGGCTGTTCAAATGGGGGGTGTTGGAGGGGGTTTGCACAAGGGTGTGAGCCTCGGGTTTGCAAGAGCATTGTGCACAGGGGGTTGGGCACGGGGGGGTTGCACAAGGGTTGTGCATTGCACGAGGGTTGTGCACATGGGGTTTGCAGGAGGTGTTGTACGAGGGTTGTGCAAAAGGGGGTGCGGGACTGGGGTTGCACAAGGGTTGTGCACGGAGGGGTGCACAAGCGGTTGCACAAGGGTGTGAGCGTGGGGTTTGCACGACGGGTTTTGCACGTGGGCTTTGCACGAGGGGGTGCACAGGATACGATGCCCCCGCCCCCCCTTTTGCACAGCAGTTGCACAAGCACAGGGCCTCTCACCACCCCAGCCCTTCCACAAGCATTTTCACACGAGCTCTTCCCCTTGCACAATAAATCCCCTTGCACCAGCGCTCCCCTTTGCACTCTCCCCCCTCCATGCGTGGCTCCCCCTTGCATAAGTGCCCCCCTTGCACACTCCTCCCTCACACAAGCATCCCCTTGCACGACTGCATCCCCCTTGCACAATCGCCCCCCCCGGCACATTTCTTTTCCTTTGCACAAGCAGCCCCTCTCCACGCTTCCCATTGCACACTTCACCCTCACAGGAACGCTCTCCTCTTGCACGCTTTCCCTTGCACAAGTGCCCCCGTGCTTCCTCCCCTTGCACAAGTCCCCCTTGCACACTCTTCATGCACGACCAACCCTTTTGCACACCCCCCTTTGCACAAACCCCCCTCAGACACTCACATCCCCCCTTGCACATGCATGCCCCCTTCCACACCTCTCCCTTGCACCAGCACTCCCCTTGCACAACTGCCCCCTTTGCACAACTGCCCCTCTTTCACAACCAACTCCCCACTCTCCCCAGTTTGTACAAGCATCCCCCCTTTTCACGACCACCTGCCCCACTTTGCACGAGAACCCCCTCTTTACAGGCCCCCCCTTGCACAACTGCCCCCCTTTCACAATCACCTACCTCCCCTTTGCACAACCACCCCCTTTCACAGCGACTCCCCCCTCACCTTTGCACAACAGCCCCCTTTTCACAACCAGCTCCCCCCTTTGAACAATCAGGGTCCTTCTTTGCAACCGCCCCCCTTTTCTTTGCACAACGGCTCCCCTTTGCACGACGATCCCCTTTGCACGATGACCCCCCTTTGCACAACCCCCACTTGCACAACTGCCCCCTTTACACAACCACAACCCACCCTTTCCACAACCCCCACTTTCACAACCACTTCCCCTCCTTTGCATAACTGCCCACCCTTTTCACAACCAAATCCCCACACTCCCCCCTTTGCACAATCACCCCCCCCTTTAAGACCCCTCTTGCACAACTGCCTCCCCTTGCACAACAGCCCCCTTTTCATGACCACCTCCCCTCTTTTGCACAACAGCTCCCCCTTTACAACCTCCCCTTGCACCACTGCCCCCCCTTTCACAACTCCCCCCTTTTCATGACCCTCTCCCCCTCTTTGCACAACAGCCCCCTTTTCACAACCCACCTCCCCCTTCACACAACAGCCTGCCCCCCCAAATACCTTGCACCTCGAAGTCCATGTGCTGCCATTCAGCGAGACCTGGACAGGCTGGAGAGCTGGGCATTAAAAAACTGGATGAGGTTTAACAGAAGCAAGTGTAGAGTCTTGCATCTGGGGAGGAATAATTGCATGCAGCGGTACAGGTTGGGGGATGAGCTGCTGGAGGGGAGCTCTGCAGAGAGGGACCTGGGTGTCCTGGTGGACAACAGGTCGGCCATGAGCCAGCAGTGTGCCCTTGTGGCCAAGAGGGCCAATGGCATCCTGGGGTGCACTGCACAGAGCGTGGCCAGCAGGTCGAGGGAGGTGATCCTCCCCTCTGCTCTGCCCTGCTGAGGCCTCATCTGGAGCTCTGCGTCCAGTTCTGGGCTCCCCAGTACAAAACAGACAGGGATCTCTTGGAAAGAGTCCAGCGGAGGGCCACCAAGATGGTGAGGGGCCTGGAGCATCTCTCCTATGAGGACAGGCTGAGTGAACTGGGTCTGTTCAGCCTGGAGAAAAGAAGGCTGAGAGGGGACCTGATCCAGGTCTATCAGTATCTGAGGTGTGGCGGGCAGAATGGCGAGGCCGGACTCTGTTCAGTGGTCAGTGGAGACAGGACAAGGGGAAATGGCCGGAAACTGCAGCATAGGAAGTTCTGCACCAATGTGCGAAGGAACGGCTGTACAGTGAGGTGACGGAGCACTGGAACAGGCTGCCCAGGGAGGTGGGGGAGTCTCCTGCTCTGGAGATGTTCAAGACCTGCCTGGATGCTGACCTGTGCGACCTGCTGTAGGAACAGCTTTGGCAGGGGGTTGGACTCAATGAGCTCTGCAGCTCCCTTCCAACCCCTACAATTCTGTGATAATTCTGTGAAGTCCTAGAAGATTTACTGCTACCACTGAAATTGCAATAGTGCATGTCAGAGGTCACCAGAGGGGAATTCAATCATTGCCCAAGGCAACCGAGCAGCACATAAAACAGCCCGTGAGGCTGCTCTACAATCAACAATTACTATGAATCATCTTGTGCCCGAGGTACCACCTCCTCCCCCAAAACAAATTCTCAGTAAAGAAAAGGAAACCCTTAGGAACTTAGGAGCCACGGTGTCCGAGGGAAGGTGGATCATTTCAGATGGGAGAGAATATTGAGCAAGGCAGTGACAAGCGCAATTTTAATCACCCTGCATCAAGGCAGCCATTGGGGAGTACAAGCCCCGTGTGATGCTGTGCTGCGAAAATACGTCAGCACAGGGATATATAGGGGTATATACTCTGGCTAAACAGGTCTGTAGGGGATGTGTAGCGTGCCAGAAAGTGAATAATAAGGCTATCAGACACCGGCCTGAAGGGGAAAGAGAGCCGGGGATTCGACCATTCCAAAGTACTCAAGCAGATTTTACATAACTCCCGAATGCAGGGAAAATCAAGACTCGTTCGTGTCAGCAGACCATTGAAGTGGCGGGCAGAAGCATTTCCGTCAGTATCTGCCACTGCAAGTGTGGTGGCCAAGGTGATTTTGGAACACATGATCCCTAGGTATGGAGGGGTAGGATATGTGGATTCAGACCAAGGCAGTCATTTCACTTCACACACATTACAGAAACTAATGCACGCTTCAGGGATTAAATGGGAATTTCATACCCCCGGCACCTGCCGTCATCAGGAAAAGCAGAAAGAACGAGTCAGAGAATACAGAAGCTCCTCACAAGTTGGCCGTAGAGACTCGGCTCCATTGCACCAAATGCTTGCCTCTGGCACTTCTCCGAATCCGTACAGCACCAAGACAGGCTGTGGGGGTTTCTCCATAGGAAATGTTATTCGGGTTCCCATATCTGGGAAAGAAAAATGAGGTACCGCAGTTTGAAACTCAAGATGTGTTCCTTAAGAACCGCAGACTCGGACTGTCTTCCTCACTATCCTCTCTCAGGACCCGAGGACTGCTGGCACAATCATCGCCTCTGCAATTTCCGATTCATCCATCCCAGCCTGGAGGCTGGGTGCTCATCCAGACCAAGGAGGCAAAGCTGCAACCCGACTGCGAAGGACTGTTCCAAGTCGTTGTGACAGCAGAAGCAGCTGTCAGGACAGCGTCGTGGCTTTGTGAGTTTTGGCTTTCGGTATTCCACATCATACCATCGTGTGGGGCACTGGGACTTTCACTGTCAGTGCTCAAGTCCTGGGTACCTGCCCAGAAGGAGAAGAACTGCATTCCCCAGGGGACCTTGCGCTCAGGGCGAGGAGGTTGAACTCCTGGCAAGGTCTCCTGATGCTCTTTCTCGCCTGCCCTTCGTCCTGGGCGCTGCTCCCGTCTCCCCGCTGCTCAACTGCACTGCGCATCTCACCTCAGCCTTGTGCTGAGGCCTGTCCACCTTTCGGACATTCTCATTATATTTGATTTATTGGCTTCCATTCTGATTATATTGTATTATAGTGTGTTCTCTTGCATCCCGCTAATATACTTAGTGAATTCGTTTGTTTCTCCTCAGATCGGTGCCGCTGTTTTAATTATTTTGGGGTCCCCTGTTTCCTTTTTTTTCCTGAGGATCCCTCCGCCCCACTCGTCACGGAACCAGGCCGAACCAGCCCTTAAACTGTTGACAGGGCGCACAGGGTGGGGGGGGCAAAATTAATGGGGGGGGGGGGGATCACAGGATGAGGGAAGGGGAGCCCAAGAGGGGGGGGGTCAGAAGTGGAGAGGGGGCAGAGGGAATTGGGGGGTGTGGGGTGGGGGGGCATGAAATTGTGGGGTGGTATGGGGGGCACAACGCATGGCGGCTGCAGGGGGGGGGCACAAAATTGCGGGGGGGGCACAGAGTGCGGGAGGGGCAAAATTAATGCGGGGGGCACAGGGTTGGGGGAGGCACGGGGGGGGGTCAGAAGGTGGGGGGGCACAGGGTAGGGGGTGTTCAAAATTGTGGGGGGGAACACAGGGCGTGGGGGTTCATAGGGTGGGTGGGGCAAAGGGAATGGGGGGGTCAGAAGGTGAGGGGGGGCACAGGGCTTTGAGGAGCTGCAGGGCGGGGGGGCACAAAATTGGGGGGGGGGCATAGGGTGTGGGGTGAGACACGTTGGGGGAGGGGGGGGGCAAAAGGCCCGGGGGGGGCAGAGGGTGTGGGGAGGGTCACAGAGTGGGGGGGGGGCACAGCAAATGGGGGGGGTGAGCAGGTAAGGGGGGGGGGGGCGCAAAATTCTAAGGAGGGGGGGAAGCACAGAGTGTGGGAGGGGCAAAATTCGGGGGCACAGAGCTTTCGGGGGGGGAACAGGGTGTGTGTGGGGGGGTTCCCCCATTTTGGGGATGGGGTCGAAGCCCCTGTAGACCACTTCTGGGGAGGGGGGGCAGGGGGGGGTCCTCACATCCATGGCCCGCGCTTTGTCGTGCTGCAGCCACAGCATCTCACCCTTCAGCCAGCACCTCCGTTCCTCAGGGGTCTCTAAAATGGGGGGGGCACAGGAGGGGGGTCAAGGACATCAGTTGTACCCCCCCCAATTTAAGGTGTCCCCCCCGCACTCCATTACCTGTGCCGTGCTTCTGTCCCTGCAGAAGGGTTGGGATGTGGGGGGTGCCCATGGCGGGGGGGGGCGTTAAACCTGCATGGGGGGTCAATAGGGTGGACAGACCCCCCCCCTTATAGACAACTCCCCCATCCCCAAAATGCTTCCCCCCACCTCCCCCATAGGGGGGTCTTCAGCCCCCCCCCCCGACCCCCAATTCCCCCCCATCCCAAATTCCTCCCTCCCCAGTTCAATCCTCCTTGCCTCCACAGCCCCCCCTCCCCCCCCCAGGGTCCTCCAATCCTCCCCCCAATGTGATCTGCAGCCCCCCCGCCCAAATCCAAAGACCTCCCCCCCAGAACCTCAGTGCCCCCCCCCTCGAACCCCAAATTCGCCCCCCCCCCCCAGCACACACAAGTGCCGCTTTGCTTCCACGCGTTCTTCCTGTCGCTACGGCAACCAAACGCTTCGCTCCCATTGGCTGACCGCCGCCGCCACACTCAATATGGCCGCCGCTCCCCGCGCGCAAACTGGCGGTGTTGTCACATCCAACATGGCGGCCGCGTCTCCGGGACGGTACTTCCGGGAGAACGGCGCACGCCCGGAACTTCCGTTCTTTGGCTTCCGCTTCCGGCGTGTGGGCTGTGCACCCAGCACGAGTGGCCGTCTGTGTGGTACGGCGGGCGTCCGGGGGGAACTGGAGGCCTAGAAGGGGTTTGGGGGCTCTATAGGGGTCTGAGGGTGAGGGTCTGTAGGGCTTTTGGGGGGTGTTTGAGGGGGTTTGGGGGCGTCTGTGGGGATTTGAGGGCTCTGTGTGAGGCTGGGGGGTCTTGGGCTGGGGGCTGGGGGGGTCTTGGGGAGTTTCAGGGTCTGTAGGGTGAAGCAGGGGGCCAATATGGGCCTGTATGGGGAGGAGGCGGTCTGTGGGGTGGCTCCATCGGGGAAAGTTGGTAGGGTAGCTGGAGGAGCCTGGAAGGGGGAGGGGTCTTGAGGGGGGCTATAGGGGAAGGGGGGGGTCTGTGGGGGTCTCGGTGGCGATTTGGGTGAGTCTGAGGGGTCTGTGTAGGTTCATGTGGTGTGAAGGAGGAAGATGGGGCACTGGGAGGGAGCGGGGGGGTCTGCAGGGGGGCTGAGGGGTCTGTATGGGTGGTCTGCGTGGGGGGGTTTTGCGTGGGGGGGGGGTCTCCATGGGGACGTAGGGGGGTCTGTATAGGGCCATGAATGGGGTCTGTATGGGGGGGGTCTGCATGGGGAAATGGGGGGTCTTTATGGGGCTGGTCTGGTCTGTATGGGGATATGGGGAAGGGATTTGTATGGGGATGTGGGGAGGGGGTTTGTATGAAGGGGGTCTGTATGGGGGGGAAGCTGGGGAGGGGGGTCTGTAATGGGGGAGGGGGGTCTGTATGGGGATATGGAGGGGGTCTGCGTGGGGGGGGTCTGTATGGGGAGGGATTTGTATGGGGGGCACTGGGGCTTTGTAGGGGGAGCAGCAGGAGCCCTATAGGGAACCTTGGGGTGGAGGGGGGGGGGCTTTAAATATCCCTGTGTGATCTGTGAGAAGCCAAGGAGCATCTATAGGGAGCTGGGGGGGGCGAGAAAGGGGGGAGTTATAGATTCCAGGCCCCCCTCCCCTTTTCCACCCCAGTCCTCATTCCATGCTGCTGCCCCTGCTGCTGCCCCCCCCGGATGCTGTGGAGGTGACGCGGCCCTGCGGCGTCTCACTGAGCAGTGAGTGACCCCCCCCCCTTGAACCCCCCCACATGAGGACACCCCCCTCTTAACCTCCCCCTCCCCAGACCATCACTTCTGAGGAATCCAAGCCTTTCACCTGCCTGGATGGTTCCTCCACCATCGCCTTTGAGTGGGTCAATGACGACGATTGCGACTGTCGCGACGGCTCTGACGAACCTGGTGAGCCCTCCCTACTCTCCTCCCTCCCCCAGAAGCGGTCTGCAGGGGCTTCAACCCCATCCCCACAATGGGGGAACCCCACCGGTTGGCTCCCCCACACCCTGTGACCCTCCATCCCCAAAGCTCTGTGCCCCCCCCCATAATTATGCACCCCTCCATAATTTTGCACCCCCCCCCTGCACCCCCCAATGCCGTGTGCCCCTCCCTCACCTGCTGACCCCCCTATTCCCTGTGCCCCCCCACTCTGTGACCCCCCCTCCGTGTACCCCCCCACATCCTGTGCCCGCCCCACAGTTTTGTGCCCACCTGCCCTGCACCACCCTGATGACCTGTGCCCCCCCTCACTTTCCAACCACCCTCACCCTTCGCCCCCCTCCCACAGCCCCCAAACCATTGCCCCCCCCTCACCCTTTGCCCCTCCTTCCCACCCTTATCTACTCACACCCTCTTTCCCCCCCGACCTCCCCAACACCATACCCTTTGCCTCCCCCCACATCCTTGGTGCTCCCCCTACCCACCGTTAACCCCCCCCCACCCTTCTCCACTCCCACCCCCCCCCCACACACCCTTGGGCCCCACCTTTCACTCCCCCCCACCCTTTGCCCCCCCTTCACTTTTAGCCCCTCCCCCCCCACACCATCTTCCACTCCACACCCTGTGCCCCCCCCACAATTTTGTGCCCCCCTGCCCTGCACCCCCCACTCCTGGGGGTCCTCCTCCCTCACCCCCCCCCCAACCTAAGGGACCTCAGCCTGCCCCAATGGCCATTTCCACTGCACCAACGCTGGGTACCGACCCCAGAACATCCCCTCTGCCCACGTCAATGATGGCGTCTGTGGTGAGTGGGGGGGGTCATTGTGGGGTGTTTTTTAGGGGGGGAGAGGAGGGGGTTGGGATCAAAGTGTCCCTGGGGGGTTAATTTGGGGGGCTGTAGGGGATTGGGGGGCCTGGAGGAACACTGAGGCCCTCAAAGCTCTGTGTGGGGTGGAGGGGGGTGTGGGGAGGATGTGGGTTCCTATGTGGGGTGGGGGTGGTCCTTGGGTGGTGATTGAGGGTATTGGGGGGGTCTCAAGGTGGGGGGGGCACCATGTGTCTCTAGGGGGGGTGCTTTGGGGGCTGTGTAGGAGATGGGGGTTCCTAGAGGGGCACTGAGAGACCCCTGAAACTTTGTGTGGGGTGGAGGGGGCGTGGGGGTCTGTAGGGGTCTCGGTGGTGATTTGAGTGAGTCTGAGGGGTCTGTGTAGGGTCACGTGGTCTGAAGGGGGGAGATGGGGCACTGGTGGGGTGCGGGGGGGTCTGCAGGGGGCTGAGGGGTCTGTATGGGTGGTCTGCGTGGGGGGGTTTTGTATGGGGTGGGTCTGCATGCGGACGTAGGGG